TGTGGTAAGACATTATACCATAGCTCTGCCCACGATAGCCATCTTACACAAGTTTTAGGTTTGGAAGAAGCAAAACAGCAGAGATAAGTTTCCAAGGTTCGGTTGACTCCCTCAGACTGCCAATCTGATTGCGAATGATAAGTCGTGCTACGGCATAGTTTCGTGCCTACAGCCTAAACAACTCTTCCCAAAATCAGCTCATGAAGATTTTATCCCTCAGACACAATCGCATACAGGTATCCTATGGACGCAGACAATCTCTCTCACAAAAATTCTCGCTATTGCGGCTGCTGAAAAAGGATGTTTCAATGCTACAAAATATGCACATTTACTCAATCTGTACACTACTACAAGTATGGTATCCCAGCCTCCTGATTTTGGTAAGCCCTCCACGAAATCCATGGCGATATCTTCCCATACTTGGTTCAATATGGTCAATGGTTGTAACGACCCCCAGGTGACAGAGCTACATACTTATTCTGTTGGCATATGGAGCAATTCTTAACATAACAATGGAAATCCTTCTTCATGACCACCCAATACACATTAGAGGTAATTCTCTTATAGGACTTCAAGAACCCTAAATATCTTCCCGGGCCGCCATCCTGACCCTCCTGGATTTCTAGCGGTACTAACGCCAAACACATTGGTAGGATCACCCTCTCTTTGTACAACAATTGCCCTTCATTCATCGAGTAATCTGACCCGTCTAAAGAATCCTAGTCTAGTCACCTAATGATTTCCTACCCTGTTTGGGCCCATTAAAATGTGTTTTAGGGGAAAAATATAATTTGAAAAAGTGATTTTTTGAAGAATGTGTTGTTTAAAAGAAAAATATTTGGGTTTAAGCATAATATTGTTTTATTAGAGAATGTGTGAATAAAAAGATAGAGAGAAAAATGCATTTTGGATAAAATAGAGCCCATAGGGTCTCTGTAATGTTGTATCCTCATCCACTTTTTTCGCCAGCAGCCTCAAATGTACTATTCCAAGAAGAGTTATAGCCATCAATGCTGTTGAATGGGTAACCTGTTAAAGGGCATCAGCCATTATGTTCTCCAGACCCTGCTTATATTAGATTTCAAATTGATATTCCATGAGCTTCATCATCTACTTTTGGTACTCCAGTATTAATCGCTGCTCCAATAAAAACTTCAAACCTCTCTAATATATCCGAATAATGAAATGGTGACCCAATTGATAATGTCATATCTGTACCACGAACACTATAGTCATTAATTCTCTTTCATACACTGATTTCTCGCGACCCTTCAGATTAAGCGCATGACTATAAAAAGCAATGGGTCGCTGATGTTGCATCAACACCGCTCCTAATACATACCCTGAAGCATCTATACAGGGATGTCAACGAGCCATTTAGGCTCGAGTTCAGCTTAGTTAAAATGGTTGAGCTTTTTCTCAGCCAACAAATTTCAACTCGGGCTGAGCCGGGCAAGCTCAATTTTTTTTTCTTGCCCTTTAAAAAGCCAGGCAGAATTCTACCTTGCTGCCTCTTTTTTTTTTTTTTTTTTTTTTAATAAAAGCTCGCGGGCCGGCTCGGGCTCGGTCCATGTCTCCAAAATGGGGCTCGGCCCGAGCCTCGGCTCGATTGCTCCGAGCAACGAGCCGGGGCAGCTCGGGCTTTTTTCGAGCCATCGAGCCTTTTTGACACCCCTACGTCTATCTCGACGACAATTAAAATCTAAAAGATCAAAGGCCAAAAGCGATATCATTCTCTCTTTTAATTCCTTAAAAGCTTGCTCCACTACCTCGTCCCAATAAAAGTTGTTCTTTAATCTCTACATTGCAGACCAGGCAAGTTTACCATAATCCTTCACAAACCATCTATATTACCCGGTCAATCCCAAGACCCCGTGAAGTTCTAGAAGAGAATATGGACTCGGCCAATCCACCATTACCTTAATTTTTACCATGTCAACTGCCACTCCCTATCATGATATAATATGCCATAGATACTCAACCTCCTGCTGTCCAAATATGTATTTCTTCCCATTTAGGTACAGTTGATTTTTCTCCAAAATTTGTAAGACACCTCAAATGCCCTCGATATTTCTCCACATCCCGACTATATATGAGAATATCGTAAAAGAAAACAAGGATGGACCTCCTTAACTACTCCTTAAAAATTTCGTTCATCAAAGCCTAGAAGTGGCTGGCGTTGGTTAAGTCGAAGGGCATAACCAAAAACTCAATAGTGCCCTTTGTGGGTCCAGAAAGCCATTTTAGGAATGTCCTTCGATGACAAATGAATATGATGGTATCATACCTTCAAGTCTCACTTGAAGAAAATGGTGGTGCCGTACAATTCATCCAACAACTCTTCTATGACTGGAGTTGAAATGAAGTATCGTTGCTTTGTACAATACTGATAATCCACACAAAACATCCACCCTTGTCTTTTTTGACCAACAACACCAAGCTCATGGCTTGATTATACCTGTACATAGCATTTCTTGTACTAACTTTTCAATCTCATTTTTTGACTATACGGGTAGCAATATGGCCTGATGTTCACTGGCACAGCACCTGACTAGAGAGTAAATACATGCTCTCTTCTTTAGTGAGCTAGAAATCTCTCCTCGCTGGTTCCTCCATGTGTTGTGTTGCATATAATTTATTTGCTAATTGATAGAAATGTTACGTCTAGTAAGTCTTTGTGCAAGTCAATTTATTATGCCTAATAGTCAATTTGCATCTATATGATTTCTCATTAATAGTTGAGGGATCAAAGTGAAAATAAATAAAATTCCTTTCCTTCATGGTTTTTCAACCAATATAGTTTTTGAAAAAGATAGCTATAAACATGATTAATGATATTATCACATATTCAATTAAGGTGATAGTTATTCAATTTGACTAAGATGTTAATATAAACTATCACAAATCCAATTAAGACTATTCAATTTGACTAGGACGTTGATATTAATCACAACAAATTCAATTAAAGTTATTCAATTTGACTAGGACATTGATATTAATCACAACAAATTCAATTTAACTAGGATGTTTTGAAAGTTGACAATATAAATACATTATATTTATCTTCAACTAATTAGGCTTATCACCACACAGTCTTACGATTGAATTAGGATTTAAGTTTGTTGTTTAGTTAGAATTTAATTACTAATCAATTTAGGTAAACCATTCATGTTTCGACACGTCGTGTGAGTATTGTATGTATTTGATATTTAATAAAATTGAAGTAATTAATTATTCATTATCTACATAATCTAGGATAATAACTAATTGGTTATGATACAATTCTAATCCTAATCAAACTACCTAAGTTTACCTATAAATACCAACGGCATGCACATATGTTAGCCACAAAACCCATTCTTTAACTTTTGTTTCATACTTACAAATTTCAGCAAAAATCCCTATTAATAGTTTGAGGTGAGGTGCTTATTGCTATTAGTAGTTTTTCCACATCTTTTCCAATATATCGTTATATATGAATTTAATTACTTCTTCAAGAGAAATCATAATACATTTTAAGGTGTACATTCACGTATCAGTTAACCTTCACATTATTTTGCGGCACTTGCTAAAATTATCATTTTTCAAGGTACGATAATTCTTATTTTATTTTGGTAAGAATTTATGCATAATATAATGTTTGATATGAATGTACTCATCCCTCTTTATTTACAAATTTCAAGTAAAAATTAACATACTAGACGGAGGTGGATGGGCGGATGTGCCAGACCAACAGATTCTCGTCATGAAGTACCTTATTTGCTAAATTTGATTAGTTTTGAAGTAACCTTATAATTTTTAATTAGTCCTAGTTTTATTGCATGTTAGAACTAGTTTTTATTAATGTTTTGATGAAAGATATGATTCCAAAATGTTCCGCACATTTTATTAAATCAAATTTATCTTTTATTAAAAGTTGTTCAAATTTTATTGAATACATCATTATATTGAAATTTATTTTTTAAGCACGGTAAGAAATTCATATTTGGTAACACATCGAGTTTCTAGAATTCGGAGGATTACATAATAGTTTCTTAAAAATGACGCGAAGAAATTCACCCACTAAAATCACATTAAATTTTTGGTCAATGTCCAAGCTGGCATAACTAAGGTTGATCTAAGCATAAGCAAAACTTTGTATGTTTCAATAATTAAGCCAGAAATACGCACGACACAATAATTAGGGAAAAGCATTGTGTAAATTGCAATTTTATGTTCTGTACTTCATACACCATGTCAGAAACACCATTAAACTTCACAGAAGTCCATGGCGTAGTATTTGCTAAGTTTTTTCTAACAAAGTATATGATATTTACAAGGTTCTAAAAGTATAATGAAAATCACCTTGAAGCTACATCAAGCAGACTTCTCATTGTAAAGCCAGGATCACCACACCAAGAAAGTAAATCTTGTTTGCCACCAGACACAAGAGCAGCTAAGCATTGTGTTGCATTCTGGTCAATATGAACATAAAACTGATGAGTTATTTCAAAATTAGCAAGTATAATCCAAAAAAGAGCACACGAAAGATAGCAACAGCTAAAGGAGACTATAGGGTAAGAAAAAATCAAAAGAACCTGCATTTCACTATGATCGTCACTCTGAAGGATTATCCTAATGACAGGATCAAAGGAAACTTCATATACTGCTTTTACAACCTCAATAGAAGCATTCTGGAAAAACATAATAATATGGTGTCACCAACCATGATGATGAACGTAGGAAGCATAGCAACTTGACAAGTGAGCTCACCTTCAATAGCATTGTCACAAGATCCAGTGAACCAGAAACTAAACCGTCTGGTTGTTGGAGAGGCTGAAAAATACCAACAGCATCATCAGAAACAGAAAACTAAATTTAACTGCTAAGAATTGTTCACAATATTATTCAAATGGACGAACTTTTTAGAGCATACATTACTGAGAATTGGAGCAATATAAGGTAAAACTCGAGAAACCAGAGCATGAATACAACCCGGAACATTTTTTATTGCCTGAAAAGAATAGCAAACAAAGAAGTAATCAATATTGTCAAGTTATAAACAATACTGTCAAGAAAAGTACAGCAAGACATTTTTCAGTTCCAGGAACTTCCAGTATTTTGTCTATCATGAGAAACCCCAAGCACTCAAAGAGATGTATGACAACAAGTGGCATACATAACTCGGGCTTAAAAGGAGCATCATAAATATAACAATCATAAACTACTTCCATCCAAGAAAAATATTTTTCAGCCACAACTAATCCCATCACACATTTGGAAAACAGTCAAGAAAATGAGGGGATAAGTAACAGTATTTTCATGAGTGACTCAAAGTGTAAATCCAAAGAAATAATTTAATAGAAATGGTTGAAACACAAGTGTAAAAACAGAAGGAGAAGCACATGGTATGTGTATTGTGTTTGATGATTTTATCTACATGACAAGACAAGTTAAACTTATTGGTATTTTTCCACAGGAAAAGGGTAGAGCAATGTCGTTCTGACCAATCAAGATTAGACATTGATAGAATCCATGGAAGACAACAAACTTACAAAGATCCAACTCAACTGACAAGATCGCGAGCAAATATGATCAATGAAGATATGCATTTACTTGTTCAAGTTACAGAGGCCAAGAGTTTGAAGTTAACAAGCCAAACACCAAGTTTCATGTTGGACATGAAGGTTGAAACAAGTTGGATGCATTGGAATCAAGAAAAAAATTGGAAGCTATAGTATAAAAACGAGATGCTATCACATGTACTATTCTCAATACAAAAAAATGGAATTTTTGTTGTTCTATGCAGTCATGGGAGTTATAACCATGCAATCATACAGTTAATTTTCTGGATGCATTTTTTCAAATTTTTCCTAGAAGTATATTTTTGGTAGAACTCTTTTTATGATATCTTTTTTTATATAATTCCATTTTAATTAGGTTTTTATGGATTCCTATAAATAGAATTCATTATGTTCATTGTAAAGAGAACCAATTATTGAGAGAATTAATAAAGCCAGATTTGCATTTTTGTTGTTCTTCAGTGAACTTAATTTCGAACTTATCCAAGATTTTATCGTTGCAACGCTCAACAAACTCATAGCAATGTTCATAATTTTTGTAATTAATGGGTCAAGTTCTCTCATAACTTTGGTTCCTTGATTCAATAAATTATTGGGTCAAGCTTCAAATTGGGTGATGGAGAATGAGAATGGATATTATTATATTTAATTTTCAATTTTAATACATATTTTAGGAAACATAGCCCTTGTTTGAGCCTCATGTTTCCACCAAAATACAATCTTCAACAGTGATCTGACATCATTTCAATCACACATTCTTCAATAAAATAATATAATAGGCCAATCAAAAACTTTTTCTTATTCTTTAACCACACATTTCTCATCAATACACTATTCAAAAATTCATTTTCCCCTCTAAACTGGCGCTCAAACAAGGGCAAAATTAGTGATTTATTTAGAGTACTTTCCTACTTCAATTAGCGTTAGTTCAAACCCTATATAAAAAGGTCTATGCAATATAATTTAGACAAGCTTGATATAATGAAATAATTGATTTCTTCCCTATTTCTGTCTTCCCTCTCCCTTTTCTTCTCTCTTTTCCCCCTTCTTTCTCCTCTTCTCTACCCTTTCCCATTCTGCGATAATTCCTATATTGCATACGACATCACCGGGATTTTAGCTTTATTGGGTTGTGATTCAATCTTTTGTACGTTTCGATACTACTATTACTACGTGGATTCACATCAGACATGAAACTGTATCATAAAGTAAAACAAATAGAAATAAATCAAATAAAAGTTTAAAAGAAGAGAGAGAAGTTAGTCCCAAATCATGTCACGGTCCTTACCATTGCAACATGTTGTCACACTAATTATCACCTACTATTCTTTAAAGGACAGAATACCCAAAAAAAAAAAAAAGACAGGACATTTGAAATACTCACCTCAAGAACCTCTAGAGCATCAATGCTTATGAAAGGATCTGAGACATGTGATGCCCACATATTAAGGATAATAGGAGAGATTATTGGCTCTATCGAAGCTGATAATTCATGACCTATATTACACACACACAAAAATAAAGCTCTTATGGAGTTGGAAAATATCATTAGCAAACAAAACTCAGAGCCAGCTCAACATCGAAATGAAGTTGTACGATAATTTTTCCAGTCACATTGATACTAACCAGCCTTCACAGTTACTTGTAGGGTTTCAAGAACAAGATGCATGGTTTCATCAGATGCCTATGAAACAAGAAGCAATCAGTGACTTATATTCAACGATAAAAATGAAAATTATATTAACTAAAAAGACATGATAAGGGATAATTTGTTGAGGTGGAAGTTACATTGTTAAGAAGCTCTGTAAGTGAAGAAAATAAATCCAACACGTGAGAATGAAGAAATCCTCTGTCCGCGTCAGGTAGGAGCTGGGAAAGAGCTCGACAGGCACCAACTTTCACTGGTGGGGGTCTGAAAAAAGAAACAATCAACAAGTTATATTTCCAATAGTTTGAAGTAACAGAAAGAATCATTCTAAATTTGGCACTCACACATCCATGCCAACTGACTTAATAGCAGCATAGAGGAAATGTTCAGTTACTTTATGTTTGATCTGCACATAGTATGGAGCCAAATAAGAAGATTTACCAAAAATCAAACCAATTTCTTTCCTTTTCATAATTTTGTGTGGTGTAGGGACATGCCCACCAGGGAAGGGAGGAAAATTTGTTTGGTAGTTACCACAGAGGAAAATTTTGCAACAGATGAAAACAATCGGGCATAAAGAAAGGGATATTCATGTACTCCTGCACAATAAAGAGGAGGATAAGCTCATCATTTATTGAATTGAAAATATAAGCATCCATATAATAGAACTGATTTTCCAGGAAAAAAATCTGTCTTGTCTATGCGTGTGCACCAAACAATATCAGTGCAACTCACTGAACATTGCCCACCTGTTGCCATATCTTCTGTTAAAATTTGCTCTAAAATATTTCCTATACCAAGAGCAGAAACCTGTAAGAGAAAATAAGCATTCCCATTCAAGTTTCTTTACAAAAGAGTCTCCTTACAACATAAGAAATGGTAAAGCAAGATGTTTTTTTTCTAAGCAACCCATCGATAATGCTCAGATTCAGAGTAAGATCTTTAAAGAAGTCCAATTAATGAAGCATCATCAATGAACCACACACCTCTGCTTGAAGCAACTGCTCTGAAACGGAAGCCAAAGCGAAAAGGGTAGCCTCCCGTAACTGTGAGCATGTTCATTGGGAAAAAAATTAGTAAAAAAGAGCACATAATTAAAAGAAAAAGTTTCTAATTGATGTTGCAATAGCCTAAACAGGTGAAGAAGCACAGTGGCCAAGTTCAAATATTTCTTTTTTTATATTCCTCCAAGTGTCATACATGTTTCTTTAGTATTATTTTTAGTGTCACATGAGGCGCTTTGGCAGACCAACATCAGGAAAACATACAGCAGAAAAAATGGCTTCTCATAAGATTTAGGACAGTAATTAGATCCTCCATTTTACTTTTAAACCAGCTCATTGTTTATTTGAGTTTTCCTTAAAGTCCAATGTTTCCGGATCATCATCATTAAAGAAATTACAAGAAGCAACTATGTTTCTCTCCACCAAAAGACAGGGGAGAGTGGAGGTTAGGCAATCAACAACATTACTCAGGCTCAGGCATGGTTATGGATCCAAGTGTAGGATATTGGAATTTTCAAATACCAGAATCCAGGAATATGGCCAAAAAGTGTTTCAATATCGGATACAGGATAAACACACTATTCATATAAAAAAACTGAGCAACACATTGCAAGAAAGTCTTTATATTATAACGTCAAAGAATTGATATGGAAAAGCCACATTTTGTTACTTTGTTAGTGAATAGTAGTTGGGGTTTGGCATTCAGAGTTGCATCAGATATTAGAGAATCATCTCAGTTTCTGAAGGGTGGAGAACTTGTTCATGATTATGTGAGGAGTATTGTTGTTCGTAATTGAGTAGGATTGGTTAACCATGTCACAATGACATAGACCATTACAGTATAATCTCGTATAGGAAGTATTAGCACTAATTTAAGGAAAATTGATTAAATTGTACACTTAGTAATTGTATCTTTCTTCAACTTACTCTCCACCAGCCTGGAGAACCACTGTCTTTCCCTTGTTGAGACTCGCTAATTCGTCTTTTTGCAGAGTCAATTATAGCCTCTATTCCCTCTGACCCACATGAACTGATGACCTCTTCCAATAGAAGGGCACCTGCAAGAAATGATATTTGATAAGATGATAAGGTACCTGAAATTGAACATTTCGAAGACAGAGAATGCCAATTGGAATAATTGAACAAGACACCCATTAGTAATATAATCCCCATCAGCAGCACCTTCCAGGGACTAACCAATTTTTTTACAACATCACCATAAACCACTTACCAGAAACACGACAACTATAAGTGTTGTCATCCTCATCAGCAACATACTGATTAGCATCCAACGACCAGGTATGTACCTAGAAGGTAGTTGCTTGTCAAAATGATGATAAAGAAAAAAAATGCTCGAAAGCACACCACATATAGCAAGCAATCAAGAGCGTTTTTTCATAATAAGAGAAATAATGTGTCAACAGGTGTTAAGGGTACTCATTAAAACAATACACAACATTTTATTTATCTAAAGCAGTAACATGGCAATCAGCACAAAAGAATTCTCAAAATGGGGTGTCAAGGACCGCAGCTTTACTTAGCCCCTTGACACTATCGCAGCGGCAGTTTGCCCAACTTCGGCCACACATTGTAAATATTACTTCAAGTTTGAGTTGTAATTTTCTTTTCATTGTAATAGTTATTTCAATTGTAAAATAGCTCTGATATTGGCAAACGTTTAGTATGATTCCTCGTCTTTTAAACGTCTACTCCCGTCACTTGGATTTTTGTTCAGAATGCTATTATAGGGGGTATTAGTCATTCAAAAATCTTTCAAGCTCACTGGTGTCCGCCCCCCGCACCAGCATTTGTAATTTTCTGCTTTCATCAATTGTAATGTTCAGTTTTCATCATTCAATGTTCAATTTACTTTCAATGTATTCAAATTCTCAATTGTAAGCTTTCTACAAAATTGCAATCAAATTTTCTTTCGTCCCGACGCGACCGAGAAAAGGCGGAAGGTAGTCTAGCGGAGCAAACTACTGCCGCACGGTGTCCCTTTCTGTGCCAAGAAGAAAGGCACCCCGTGAAAGTTGGTATCAGAGCTGCGGCTCACAACCCTCGATAAGAAAGCTATGGATCCAATTACATCACATACCACTGAAGTGGTAGAGCCTCAAAAGAAGGGTACTACGAAACAGCGCGTGGATGCACTTGATGAGACAACTACTAGGTTGTGCTATGCTATGGAAGGTCTCGAGGAAAAAGTCGAGATGGCCGAATCTGAAATTCGTGGACTACACATCCAATTGGATGAAAGCCAAAGAGCTTGCGCAGCAATGACAGAAGCTGCTGCAATCATTCCTGATCTGCAGGATCAAATGGAAGCGTTGAGAGCTCAATTGCGAGTACTCCAACGTGCGGTGGGCAATGGGCAAGCTCCCGCACACGAGTATACTCCTAGACTCAGAATTCCTGAACTGTGTACCTATGGAGGGGCACGTGATGCAAAAGAAGTCGAAAACTTCTTGTTTGATATGGAACAGTACTTTCAAGCAGCTTCGATCGAAGATAAAGCTAAAAAGGTAACCACAGCTACCATGTATCTGGGTGGAGATGCAAAACTATGGTGGCGAACCAAATATGTGGACATTCAAGCCCACAGGATTCGAATTGATT